CTTCCACTCACCAGTAGTTTGTGGGTGAGAAGAAGCTCCTCCTCCATGGAAGGATCCTTTTTCTGTCTCTTGTCCTGGAGCATCACTGGTGACAGCATCTCTTCAGCAGAGTCATGAGTCCTGAACGAGAGACAGACGGATTGTAAAACACGTAAATCTTTGTTTTAATGTTCAGATATAAATTTTTAGCTGTGTCTTCACCTACAATAAAAAGCTGGAGCTCTACAATGTCCTGAATGGGCCACTGCCACACAGGACAAGAACACGGCCTTCTTACTGGCGCCTCCCTCAGGACAAATTTCCCATTTTGGCATATGTGCTCAGTTACAATAATGCAAGGTGAAACTTGACTTCCTGTTTGCTCTAAACACACCTTTGCACCAATCGTTTTATAGCGCTGGTCTAACTTACCGTTTCCTGCTTGTTGCTGAAGTTTCGGAAGGTTTCTCAGCTTCCTCGGTCATACTGCTGAGGAAGGTCAGCTGGAAGTCATCGTCCATGGAGATGTACGGAGCCAACATGTCCAGGTCCATCCCCTCCATCTCCTGAGAAAATGCAGGTAGGACTGAATATTTTGCAGAAAGCAGTTGACTGAACAGTTGTTATCAGGATGTCTTTTGTTGACGCCTCATCGCCTAGTGCTCTTACCACCGGGGTTTCTTTCTTCTGGGCATCTTCTGGCCAAAAGGCGAAGAACTTTTCCACCTCGCTGGTGTCCATCACCTCCTCTTCACTGCGGCTCTGAGACACGAACATCGATTAAGGGTTAAAAGGAGGCAGAGACACTTCGACTGATGCACAAAGACTTAAGGCTGACATTTACCTGCTCGGGTTTAGGTGAGGAGCTTGGCGATGGTGAAGAAGAGGATGCAGATAGAGGAGGAGTGATGGGGTCAAAGATGGGTGCGAGGAGTTTTCTCAGCTGCGGGGTGCACAGATCCTGAGGGTGCTCGGGCACCGAGTCTGGACTGGGTGGACTGGCAAATGAGAGCTCGACAGAACCTAAAAGAGGGAGGGGGGGAGATCTACTCTGAATAACCACCGGCGACATTTCCTCAACTGTAACATGAACGAGGCTTTTAGGTTTATATATTTTAAAAAAAAAGAAAAAAAAAGGGGGGGGGTGTCCTCTGTCGGTCTCACCTGGACTCAGAGGTACGATGGTGTCTCCGGCGTCAGGAGCCAACTGCAGCAGCTCCTCCGGCTTCTCCTGCAGCTCCATGAAGAGCGTCGCGCTGCTGCTGGAATCTGAATCCACATCTTCAGCCTCAGTGGAAACAGTGCGAGGCTCGCTGTCAGTTTTAGACTCGCACATGTCGGCAGTCCCGGAGTCCTCATCTGCCGGTTCAACTTTAGACCTGCGACTACAGCGGGTCTGCTCCATGGAGAAAATCACGTCTGGCTGCTCCACAGAGCTAAAGATGAAGAACGCGATGACGTTAAAATCGGGAACAGTAAATGGGCGCACCATCCTCGCTCGTGTTGCAGTTTGTGAGACAACTTTGCTGCTTTTTAAAGTACCTGAGGATGAAGTTGAGGCAGACGATGGCATCCGGCTGGGAAGTTTTACTGTTGTACAACACCGTGGCCTGAGTCTCCGCCCACACGTAGCCACCGTTGTTTGCCAGGAAACGGTACTGGCTGGTGCTAACCTGACCTTTGGAGAGCACTGCGCAGTGTGGACAGAAGAGAAAGAGGATGATGATGATGATGAAGTGCCAGAGCACGTTTTCACTTCATTAAAACACAAATTCTGGGAGCTCCTCGTTGAAACACAGCTTTCAATAACAGCTGAAATTTAGTAAAACCTGTGCCTCAAATACAAGCGATGGACTGATGACACATCGAAGAAACACCCTTAAACTAGTTTTATGAGCTCAGGTGGATCAAAGCCAACTTTTCTGATTCTCAAGCAGGGACTTTGTCGAGGGTGAAATACGTTTAATTCAGACATTGGTTCCTTATTACGTTAGTATATTAGTAGTAATCAGAAATGAGGAGCATTCTTTTAAAAAAAATATATATATATTTAGGCATAAATATGTTCAAAATTAGAAGGAAAAAACAGTTTTGGACATTCATGTTGGACACCCCTCTCTTTCTCTGCCTTCATCATCTAGACACCAAATGAGGGAATTTCTTTGTCCCCGTGTGCTCTCTCAAATTTTCAGACTTTGTTTTAAAGGCCAAGATGCACTGAAGGTGTTCTGACGACAGCAGAGGGCCAAATGCCCTGCTGAGAGCTTTATGCTGGATTTTGCTTTAATTCGTCACCCGTCCGTATATGAAAGCCGTTTAGACCCAGGTAAGCGGTGAAAATGATTGAAAATATTACACTGTTGTAACACGCAGACACACACTGACACTCACATGTGTGCAGGCTCTTGTTGATGTGATCTGAGTCGAGCGCGTGAAGAAACTCGAAGCCTGAGCGTCCAATCAAATCATCAGGTTTGTATCCCACCAGCTCTGCAACCCTGGAAACGGTGTGAGAAAAGAAAACCAGGAGTTCAGAGGTTTCTTTCGCGCCACAGTGGAACGGTATTCCTCCTGCTTCCCATCCACGGGGGGAAGGTCAAAGGTCGAGATCGGTTACATTTTTCCGTCTCACCTGCCCTCGCAGTGGGTGAAGCGCAGGTCCATGCTGTGACGGGTGAGGAAGGTGCAAGTATCCAGAGGGAACTCCACGCTGGATGGGTGTGGGATGGGCTCACACAGCAGGGTCATGACTCTGCCTGCAGGGGGCGATGCAGAGCCGCTGCCAAAGGGACGAATGTGGCCTGTGCAGTGGAGGACCTGCAAGAGGGCGAGGAGTTCATCAACCAAGCACGCTTCAAACAACCGAAATAAACTTATTTTTTTGCTCAATTTCTGCTTTCATGCTTCATAGCTGTAGTGAGCTCTTTTAATGAAAAGTATTCAGTTTGTGTCGCTCTGTTTTTGCCAATGTTAAATTCAGAAAGAATAAAAAAACCTCAAATTTGAGCTGTAATCCCTTAAATGCTCAAAAGAGGTTTTAAAAGAGTCCCTGCTCTGTGGCGCTGGAGCCAAGACACGTCAGTGCTGGAAACCCTGACTCTTCCAGAGGTTTTAAAATGTAAGTGCAGCACTTTAGACAGGAATGGTAACATCAGGACACGTGCCACTGTGCAGCAAGTACACATGAGCGCATGAATTGAAAGTTTACACCGTTTACAGCGTGAAGGCCGGCTGCCAGCGTTAATTTGACCATATCTCTTTCAGACTGGACTTTAGCTGCATGTGTGTGTCTGTTGTGCCTATTTTTATGAGGACCAATTATAGCTTCAGAACTAGCCGTCCCTCACTTTGTGACACACCTTCTAAGGCCTGTTTAAAGGGGACGTATTCTGCTCGTTCCTGCTGACAATTTATTATTAACTCCTCTTCCTTTCTTGTGGTTGGCTGCCCGTCATAAACCGAAGACCTGGGTAAAGGTGGGTGACGCTTATGTGCTCAAAGCCAGAGGTGTGAGCTCGAGACGTCCTTATATAAGATAGTTTATACACCAGCCAAAAGTAAATGTGCACTGCTGTCGTTTGGGCTCGTCGTGCACCTCCCAATTATTAACAGTAAAAATGTGTTGGGGAGAGTACAAGCAATCTTCTGTTCCTGCTCGAGCCCCAAGGCTGTGATTTATTTATTGTTTTTCCTGAGCTGGAACACTTGTCATTTAGAAGAAGCCTGCAGCCAATCAAGTGCATGAGCCAAAAGTATATATTTACATAGGGATAAATAAGGAAGCGGTGAATACGTCCACTTTAAGGGTTAAAGACGTGCTCCAGCTGGACCTGGCGGTATGAATAAAGCAGAACATTTCTTTACAGCACTGCAAACTGCACTTTGACCCTCTTGCATATTCAGCAAGTTGGTGTATTCTAGTATATTATTACTCTGTTTCTGAGCAGTAGTTAGCTAGTAGCTGCAGTCCTACAGTTTATGAATGCAGCCTACTATTCTAAGCATTTGCACTGTTTACAACTACTTCTGGATCAAAATCCAACATGGATCCAGCCAAACCTTTAATATTGAGGCTTCTAAATAAAAACTAATAGATGACAGCATGGTAGCTGTGTCCATCTTTTATATACAGTCTATAGTTTTAATGTTAAGGCTAGTCGGAGGTGAGTGAGCATCCTCAGAAAGCCATCACTGAGAGGTGTGTGTGTGTATATATACTAAATGAACAGCTGTGTGTAATACAAACCTTCCAGGTGGCAGATTTGATGTTGACGGTGCGCCCCCTGGTGGTCAGTGTGCTCTTCATTCGCATAAAGAAGTTCCTCTCGCTCGTCTGTTCTGTCCGTGACTTCTTACTCAGACCTGAAAGCAACACGACACCGTTAACGTGGGTTATTCACAGAAGTTTGTCAGCTTACAAGAAACTTTGTTAAGTACCAAAAACATTTTAAAAATTCAAAGAACAGCTGAGCTCAGAAAGCATACAGTCTTTGTGACCACAAACAAACAGAACTAACACGCACTAAATTAACTCGTTACAGTCAATCTGGCCTGTAATTAAATTCTGGAGATCAAATTAAGAAGATGCTTGTCTTTTTGTCACATGACCGAACTACAAAATAAAGGTGTCAGTGGGCTCCTGATCCCCGGCTCTGCGTGTTTACCTGGACGTGGAGTCAGCAGGTCTCTGAGCTCCTCTTGATCGCAGGGATGAACAAAGTCATAGATGCTCTGACCCAGCAGCTCCAGCTGTGGACGACAAGAATCCAACAAAACTGCTGAGTCACACACCAACAAACACAAGTATCAACTGCTACCCTTGATTATGTATTTTTTGAACCTGACGTGTTGGTTAAAAGTTTGTCTGTACTTTATTTTCTCTGGTGAATCAATTTTTCTTTCTGTGTTTAGCAGCGACTGTAATTACAGTTGACGAGGTCGGGTTAAATCGCCACCGCTGTTACAGCATGCTTCACTCTGGACCTCGGTGAATACTCGCCGTAACCTCCTCAAACGGGGCTAAGAATAGATCTAAGGAACAGATTCTTCTTCCCGCTCAGCTTTCATCGACACACTATCCTGGCAGCTCATAGGAAATAAAAAGAAAACAACTCTTATCTAAGAAAAGCTCGTAAGGGCTGACTGTACTAAAAGCTGATGTAGGTCAGGAATGACGAACAACACATCTACAGTCTAAGCAATAATTATGGCGTTCTCACGTCCAACGAGTACCTCTGGGGTTTAATTACACACCCTGAAACAACATTATTACAGTTCACTGAAAGTAAACCAAGACGCTGTAATTAACCAAAATAAAAACTACACTTTAGCAAATACGCTGCTGCGCAACTACAGAAATAAACTACAATAAATGCAACACACAGGAAATGCCTTCAGTTTAGTCCAGTTTCTAAACCCAGTAAGTTTATATGTGTATTTATGGGGATGGGGTGATGTGTCAAGTGTTTAAAATGACCAACACCACCAAAAATGGATGTTTGGAGACCAACAAACATCTGTTTTCTGGTGTTGAAGGTTTCCTAATGTTACACAGTGCATGGAAAACCAGAACCGACTTGGAAAATAACCGGAACGCCAAGCTGACGGATCACAAGACCGTCACACGAAGTGGCAGCTGAGTGGGAAACTGAAGCCGGCTTGGTTGAAATGAAAGGAAAAGATTTAAGACTAAAGTCTGGAAAATTGAACGTCACAGTTACGTCTCTCCAGCGCCCAATCAGCCATTAAACCAGCAAAGAGTCTTTATGAAGTAAGCATCACCACACAGGAGGGCACATTTCTGGAAACTTAGAAATATTCAACATTTTTAATCAATTGTTGGAATCATAAATGGTAAAATAAAGTGATTGCGGAGCGAGTGCTTGTCCTGTTTGTCAGCAGGATTACTCGCAGAGACACGGATGGATTTGCATGAATTTTTACCAGAGGTGCAGCCTGTTACCCTGCTCTGATTTTATGTCACATTTTCAGAGAAACATTATTTCAATTTCGTCAAGGAGGGAAAAAACAAAAGGCAAACTGATCCTAAGCCAATGCAGACTCGCTCATGGAGGGAATGTTTTTAGCCTCGGAGAAGCTATGCGGTCTCCTGTTACTCCATGTGTTTACGAGAGCTCTCCGGCCTCTCGAAAAAGAAGCCTCGCTGATTAGAACAAACTGAGTAAATAAATGACTTTGCAAAATGTGAAATTTAAATCGGGGAGTGAATCATTTTACATACGATGCACTTTTATTGCGTCAACAGCACAGCTATCAAAATGTTAAAAACACTTTTAATCAGAGTTAAAAGATATTTATCTGCATATATAATACAGGCGTTAAGCTCTGTTTTGTGCTTTTGCACGGCTACACTGATCCTGAATGCACCTGTAATAAAGACGGTCTGTTTAAACTTCATGCAGGATATTTTAAGCAGTTTCTCAATAAACGTGATTGTTTACTTCTATGTTAAAAGAAAGGTGGGTTATCACATAATTGTTTTATTGGTCCATTAACTAAAGTGACCTTCATACCCTTGATATAAACAAACCAAACTGTTTGTGTGCTAACTATAGGTTATTACAGCAATATTCAAACTACATAAAATGTTTCCAGTCATTAGATTCATGCATCCATCCTGAAATAAAATCCTTCTGCTATAAAGAGCGCGGTGTGTTGGAGCAGTTGACGGATGATCTCAATTATGTGAGCATGACTCCAAGGATAACAAGGAAATTAATCTTTTTTTATGTGAAGCAAAGCACAATTAAGCAGCGGTGTGACCCACCATTCAATTTTTTTAAAAAAGAAAGGAAAAAAGTGGAAACTACATTAGAAAAGCCAGCCCTGTAATGGCTTCAGCTGGACCGAGGACATCACAAGTCCCCCGCCCCCGCTATGACATCTGTCAGGAGAAGTTTGGCAAATGCTAACACGATGCCAAGTGAGCTGAAAGGGGACTTGGAAACCAAACACCTCTCCTGAGAGAAGCTTGGCTCGTTCTCAATAGTGCTGGAACCGAACCAGATGCAGCACAGATTGTGTAAAAGTGTCTGAAGGAGGCCGGGGATACGCGGCAAATGGGCAGAGTTTTAGTTAGACAACACGATCCGAAGAACCGACGGGGCAGGCAGGAACACAGGTTGCCAACAAGCTTTGAAAGCCACAGTTACAGCATCAATTTTTTAATTCAACTTTATTTATACGAAGCAAAATCCCAACAACGGTCTCCTCAAGCCGCTTTATATTGCGAGGTAAAAACCCGACAGTAACACAGAGAAAACCCCGACAATCAGACAACCCCCTACGAGCAAGAAGTTAGCGACAGAAATCATAAATGAACATAATCTGAGCTCAACCTTTGAACAGAGGGCTATCACCATGGTTACAGAGGAGGTTTCACAGCCATGGATCCACACAGTCCTCACTTTCTCCATTTATCAAAGGACGAGTCAGTGTGGTGAAGCTTTGGCAGCGAATACTTTGGTTTCTTTATCGCAAACTACGACTCATACGGCGACGTTATCTGGCCTCACCTCTACCTACAATCAGTACTTGGCTTGTTACACAAAAACCAATCAACAGATGTCAGGATTAAATGTCCTGGACACGCCTGCACGGCACAAAAACAAATGCCTTAAGATTTCTGTGCCACCCACAAAGCACAAGATTGTCTTGATGTTTGTAAATGATAGTGTGTGTGTGTGAGTGTGTGTGTATGTGTGAGTGTGTGTACCTGTGTGATGCCAATGTGTTTGTTGACATTCTCTGTCAGGTAGATCATATCTCCCTCCTCAGTCATCACCATGATGAAGCCAGCCAGCGCCTGAGGATAGAAAGCATCCATCGGATCTTCATCCTTCTCCTCCTCCTCCTCCTCCTCCTCCACC